GGGAGGGTTGCTTGAGCCAAGGAGTTTGAGGCCACCCTGGGCAATATAGTAAGACCCTGTCTCTTAAAAAAAAAGTTCTAATTTCTTTTCTTTTTTTTTCCATCTGCAGCGGTTGCTGATGCTATTAGAACAAGCCTTGGACCAAAAGGAATGGATAAAATGGTAAAGAGTTGAGTCATTGAGTACTCATTGAGCACTGCTGTTCACACTGCAAGACCTTGATGGAGGGTTAGATGTGCTGTTTAAAAAGTAAAAGATGGGGCTGGGTGTGGTGGCTCACACCTGTAATCCCAGTACTTAGGGAGGCTGAGGGGTGAATCACCTGAGGTCAGGAGTTCAAGACCATCCTGACCAACATGGAGAAACCCTGTCTCTACTAAAAATGCAAAATTAGCCAGGCATGGTGGCTCATGCCCGTAATCCCAGCTCCTCGGGAGGCTGAGGCAGGAGAATTGCTTGAACCTGGGAGGCAGAGGTTGTGGTGAGCCGAGATTGCGCCATTGCGCTGTAGCCTGGGCAATAAGAGCAAAACTCCGTCTCAAAAAATAAATAAATAAATAAAAATAGTAGAAAGTGAGTGAGGCACAGTGTATCATACCTGTAATCCTAGCACTTTGGGAGGCCGAGGTGGGTGGATCACAGGGTCAAGAGTTTGAGACCAGCCTGGCCAATATGGTGAAACCCAGTCTCTACTAAAAATACAAAAATTAGCCAGGCATGGTGGTGAGCACCTGTAGTCCCAGTTACTCAGGAGGTGGGAGGCTGAGGCAGGAGAATCACTTGAACCCAGGAGGCAGAGGTTGCAGTGAGCCGAGATTGCACAGCTGCACTCGAGCCTGGGTGACTGAGCAAGACTCCATCTCAAACCAAAACCAAAAAAATAGTAAAAAGTGTAGGGTACCTGGAGTTTAGAGGAAGGAGAGATTACTTTGGAGTCAACAGGACTAAACTATAATTCATACTTTGTTTAATGCTTTTTAAACGATGATACCCAATAGATACCCAAACATAGGTATCTATTATGTAGTTAAGTGGAAAGTATTATAAATCCAAGTGTTGGGACTTCAGTTTAGTATTCCTTATGGATGTAACTTTGTATTCTAATGTGGGTCTCTGGGGGTAAAACAAGAATGGAGGATCATCTGGATGATACTACAGGTTATTCTCCTCTCTGGATGTTTGAAAATCTTTCCTTCCCAAAAATGCTGTTGTCCTTTTTGTAGGACAAAAAAAGAAAAAAGTTACTGTGTTGATTATAAGAATTGTGTTCACCGCATTGCATGGTCCTCCTTTAGGGCATCCATGGTGGAAATGATGCTTCTGATTAATAAGAAATTATTAAAGATAGCAAGTGCTTCTTTATAATATTTTTCCTTTTTTTCTTTTTTGTGTGTCTGCGTTTCTTCACTTTTAGATTACCCTGCAACAAAGGCACTTTTTTCTTTTGTAAAGTTGGACTGTTGTGCGTATTCTTTTTTTTTTTTTTTGAGACGAAGTTTCGCCCTTGTTGTCCAGGCAATGGCATGATCTTGGCTCACCGCAACCCCCGCCTCCCAGGTTCAAGCGATTCTCCTGCCTCAGCCTCCCTAGTAGCTGGAATTATAGGCATGTGCCACCACGCCCGGCTAATTCTGTATTTTCAGTAGAGATGGGGTTTCTCCATGGGTCAGACTGGTCTTGAACTCTCCACTTCAGGTGATCAGCTTGCCTCGGCCTCCCAAAGTGCTGGGATTACAGGCATGAGCCATCGTGCCCAGCCTGTTATTGCACATTCTTAAATTATTATGCTAATATAAGGGAAGATAATTTAAAATTCAGTACTTTGCAAACGGAAATTAACTTCTCTATTTTGAAATATAAAAGTTTAATGAAACTGTTAAGGTGTCACACTGAAATACAACTTTAAAATTTTCTAGATTCAAGATGGAAAAGGTGATGTAACCATTACAAATGATGGTGCTACCATTCTGAAACAAATGCAAGTGTTACATCCAGCAGCCAGAATGGTAAGTATAATTTTAGGTGAGTCTTTTTTTTTTTTTTTTTTTTTGAGACGGAGTCTTGCTGTCACCCAGGCTGGAATGCCATGGTGCAGTCTCGACCCACTGCAGCCTCCACCTCCTGAATTCAAGCAGTTCTCCTGCCTTAGCCTGCTGAGTAGCTGGGATTACAGGTATGCACCACCACGCCTGGCTAGTTTTTATATTTTTAGTAGAGACGGGTTTCGCCATGTTGGTCAGGCTGGTCTCAAATTCCTGACCTTATGATCCACCTGCCTCGGCCTCCCACGTGCTGGGATTATAGGCATGAGCCACCGTGCCTGGCTAGGTGAGTCTTCTTTTTTAAGTGTATTTGATATTTGGTAAACAGTTAAATTTATTTATTTGATCACGTATTTAAGCACAATGAACACTTTTTGTGCTAAACAGGCATATTTTTAGGATACTTTTTTTTTTTTTTTTTTTTTTTTGAGACGGAGTCTTGCTCTGTCGCCCAGGCTGGGGTGCAGTGGCGGGATCTCAGCTCACTGCAAGCTCCGCCTCCCAGGTTTACGCCTTGTGCCTAACATTGTGCTTTTTGATGTGAGGTGATGATAAAACAAATCAAGCCAGGCATGGTGGTGCATACCTTTAGTCCCAGCCACTCCTTAGGCTGACATGGGAGGATTGTTGGAGCTCAAGAGTTTGTGGCTGCAGTGAGCTATAATCACACCACCACACTCCATTCTGGGTGACAGAGTGAAACCCCAGGAAAAAAAAAAAAACAGCTGGGCACAGTGGCTCACACCTGTAATCCTGGCACTTTGGGAAACCAAGGTGGGAGGATTGCTTGAGCTCAGGAGTTTGAGACCAGCTTGGCCAACATGGTGAGACCTTGTCTCTACTGAAAACACAAAAAATAATACCTGGGTGTGGTGGTGTGCACCTGTGGTCTCAGCTACTTGGGAGGCTGAGGTGGGACAATCACTTGAGTCCAGGGGCAGAGGTTGTAGTGAGCTGTGATTGGGCCACTGCACTCCAGCCTGGGTGACAAAGTGAGACCCTGTCTCAAAAAAAAAAAAAAACACAAGTCACCTTATACTTGTCCATGGAAATGAGTATTTTTCCTCTCAAATGATTATTGTGTTCTTATTAGAATATGGTGCATAACAGTTCACATGTCCACAGAAGAAAATGCATTGTCTAAAAATAATCTGCTGGAAACAGTAATTATTTTACTACTTTTTTTTTTTTTTTTTTTGAGACAGAGTCTCGCTCTGTCGCCCAGGCTGGAGTGCAGTGGCCGGATCTCAGCTCACCGCAAGCTCCGCCTCCCGGGTTTACGCCATTCTCCTGCCTCAGCCTCCTGAGCAGCTGGGACTACAGGCGCCTGCCACCTCGCCCGGCTAGTTTTTTTTTTTTGTATTTTTTAGTAGAGACGGGGTTTCACTGTGTTAGCCAGGATGGTCTCGATCTCCTGACCTCGTGATCCGCCCGTCTTGGCCTCCCAAAGTGCTGGGATTACAGGCTTGAGCCACCGCGCCCGGCCCTATTTTACTTGTTTTACCTTATACTTGTCCATGGAAACTTGGCATACACTTGAGGAATGAGGAGATTAAAAACATAAACCTGTTGTCAAGTCATATGAGCAAAAACAAATGCATTAGAAATAAATTTCTATCAGGCTGGGCGTAGTGGCTCATGCCTGGGATCCCAGCACTTTGGGAGGCTGAGGCAGGTGGATCACCTGAGGTCAGGAGTTCGACACCAGCCTGGCCAACATCATGAAACCCCATCTCTACTAAAAATACAAAAATTAGCTGGGCATGCTGGTGCATGCCTTTAATTTCAGCTACTTGGGAGGCAGAGAGAGGAGAATTGCTTGAACTCGGGAGGTAGAGGTTACAGTGAGCCGAGATCGCGCCACTTGACTCCAGCTTGGGTGACAGTAAAATTCCATCTCAAAAAAAAAAGAAACTTCTATCAAAACAATCCCTTTGAGTTATGTAAAGATGGCTTTTAAAAAACTTTTTTTTTTTAACAAAGATACTGATCGAATTTATGTATAATAGAAACAACCTGGAATAGGCAAAATATCCAATGATAGGAAAATGTTTAAACAAATAGTATACCACAGCATGTTAATCGAACAGCCATTAAAAATTGTTCATGAAGATTTTTATAATGAGGAAAAACACTAATGAAACATTACATGAAAAACAAAAGATAAAATTATATACTGTGAGCTTACTTAAAAAATAGGAAATGATTGGAAATAAACCAACATACTACATACAAATACTAATGGTCTTTGCTTCAAAAATATTCAGTTGACATATTTTAATTTCTTCTTTCTGTATTTTCCAAATTTTGTATAATTACCACATACTATTTTACAACAAAAAAATTTTGTTATCCAGAAGTGACAAGTCTATATGTAATACTGCTATTAAAATGTTGAAAAAAAATGATAATTTATTATAGGAAAATAAGCATCTTATTTGGAACATAAAATAAAGCATTGTTAAATAAAACAAAACTTCACTGCTACGTGAAGTTTTGCTGTTTTCTTGGATGGTCCTGAGGCTTCATACGTTGTGCCATCCACCAATTACGAAAAGATGGCTTTTTAATGAATCAGATTATACTTATAAGGGGTCTATTCAAATAAACTTGGCAAAAGACTCTTAAGTTGATACTCTGAGGCTGGGAATGGTGATTCATGCTTGTAATCTCAGCACTTTGGGAGACTGAAGCAGGAGGATTGTTTGAGCCCAGGAGTTCGAGAGCATTCTAGGCAACATAATGGGACCCCACCTCTGTAGAAAACAAAACAAAAAACAAAACTTTTTTTAAAAAGTAGCCACATGTATTAGTATGCACCTATAGCCCCAGCTACTTGGGAGACTGAAACAGGAGGCTCTCTTGAGCCCAGGAGGTGGAGGCTGTAGTGGGCCATGATCACACTGCTGTACTCCAGCCTGGATGACAGAGTGAGACCCTGTCTAAAAAAAAAAAAAAAAAAAACAAAAACATACTCTAGTCTCTCTCATCTGGAATGCCCCATTTCTTAGCTTCCGAGTCTATAGAGTACCTATGATACATTTTTGCTTTCTGATTAGAACCTTTGAGTAGCAGGGCAGGGGGAGATGACAACCCACAATCTGAACTGGAGATCATCTATTAGTCTTTAATTTTAAATGAAACCCAAGGTAGACAACAAATCAGAAATCAGGAATCATGTTGAATCCACAAATTCTGTTTGTGACACTGGTGTGATTACTTGAATTAGGTGTTACTGGGTTCTCTCATTTCTCATTGAGCAACTTGGCATTTTCTGTTCACTTAGCTGGTGGAGCTGTCTAAGGCTCAAGATATAGAAGCAGGGGATGGCACCACATCAGTAGTCATCATTGCTGGCTCCCTCTTAGATTCGTGTACCAAGCTTCTTCAGAAAGGTGGGTAGGATGTACTTTATTACTGAATAAAGAAAAGTTTAAAAGAACAAACTTTAGGAAAAGCCAAGTTATTCATAAGTAATACAGGATTTAAGATTTAATTTGGGATAACTAATCTTTTTACCAAGAATTTTTTAGGCCGGGCGCGGTGGCTCAAGCCTGTAATCCCAGCACTTTGGGAGGCCGAGACGGGCGGATCACGAGGTCAGGAGATCGAGACCATCCTGGTTAACACGGTGAAACCCCGTCTCTACTAAAAAATACAAAAAATTAGCCGGGCGCGGTGGTGGGCGCCTGTAGTCCCAGCTACTCGGGAGGCTGAGGCAGGAGAATGGCGTAAACCCGGGAGGCGGAGCTTGCAGTGAGCTGAGATCCGGCCACTGCACTCCAGCCCGGGCGACAGAGCAAGACTCTGTCTCAAAAAAAAAAAAAACCAAGAATTTTTTAAAGTTTTAGATTTTGCTATATTTATAATAGAAATTAGAAGAAATTTTCCTTTGGCTGCTGATATTTGCTGGGCTCCTTTTTGAATGGAACTCAATTGTTGTTCAAAAATGAGTGGTAGAGGCCGGACATGGTGGCTCATGCCTGTAATCCCAGCACTTTAGGAGACCCAGGTGGGTGGATCCCCTGAGGTCAGGAGTTCAAGACCAGCCTGACCAACATAGTGAAACCCTGTCTCTACTAAATACAAAAAATTAGCCAGGCATGGTGGCACATGCCTGTAATCCCAGCTAAGGCAAGAGAATCGCTTGAACCCAGGAGGCAGAGGTTGCATTGAGCCAGGATCATGCCATCGCACTCCAGCCTGGGCAACAAGAGTGAACTCCGTCTCAAAAAAAAAAAAAAAATGAGTGGTAGAAATATTACTAATCTTAGACTCTTATACAAGTAAGAAGATTTGGGAGAGAAAGTCAGGATTGTCCTTCCTTTAGTAAATGGTATTTAATTATAGTAGTGACTCTCCAATCACTTACTCTACTTATTATGTAGATTTGTGATATTTTTAAAAGTATCGGCCAGGTATGGTGACCTTGTAATCCCCGGCACTTTGGGAGGTTGAGGCTGGCAGATCAATTGAGCCCAAAGAGTTGAGACCAGACTGGGCAACATGGCAAAACCCTGTCTCCACTGAAAAAAAAAAAAAGCCAGGTGTGGTGGCATGTGTCAGTAGTCCCAGCTACTCAGGAGGCTAAGGTGGGAGGATCACTTGAGCCTGGGAGGTTGAGGCTATAGTGAGCTAAGATCAGGCCGCTGCACTCCAGCCTGGGTGACCGAGTGAGACCCTGTCTCACAAAAAAAAAAAAAAGTGTAAAATTTGGCTTTAGTCTTAAGTATTAATAAGTATGTAATCTATTTTAAATTGGATGGAAGTAAATTATTAGTCATTGTTAGCAGGTTACTGAAGCCACTATTAAGAATAGTTAAATTTGTGCTTGCTTTGACATTAATGAATAGAAAATTTTTAAGTCATGTCAAATGTGTAGTTTGCCTGTTACAATTAAATAACTAGACTTTCACAAATGACAGGGATTCATCCAACCATCATTTCTGAGTCATTCCAGAAGGCCCTGGAAAAGGGCATTGAAATCTTGACTGACATGTCTCGACCTGTGGAACTGAGTGACAGAGAAACTTTGTTAAATAGTGCAACCACTTCACTGAACTCAAAGGTGAGGCAAGCACTAACAGATAGTTGTCAAATTAATGTGTGTTACTCTGTGATTCTTGATGCTATACAGTACATAAATAGTAAGTTTCAAGAGTGACTAGGTAACTGTTATAATCTGTGTAATTGAATTGATTTAAGATTAAGAGAGGAAACGAGCCATAAGGCTAACAAAGGAGTTGGAATATTTAATATATACTATATCCATATCCACTTTTCTATTTAATGCATTGTAACAGTGTTTTGGTAAAGCTAGATATTTTAATTTGCCTATAAGAAACCTTTTCCTCTGCCAAATCAAAGACTGCCATAGGTCTCTGGCAGTATAGCTAATTTTTATTGAATACTTTATATGGTGGGCATTGTGATAAGCTTTTTACATTTATTATCCTCTTCAAGGCCCTCAGTCATATCCCCATTTTATAGATGAAGAGAGTAGATCTAGAGAAGTAACTTATCCAAGGACCGCTAACAGAAAGAGCTGAGATTTGAACCCAGGACAGGCTACTTATCGTGGTCCATCCCTTAACTAATACATATGCTGCTTTTCTTATTTACCAAGCTTAAAGCAGTGTTGTACTTCTAAGTTTCTGTGGAATTCATGTCACTTGTTTTCTGTAATGTCCTGTGTTTGTCCCGTCCATCCCCTAATCCTTTTTCCTTTTAAAAATCAGTATTAAGTCCATACATTGATTTTGTTTGAATGTTAGATGGTGTTAGGGACACTAAGTGATACTGTTGGATGTCCCCAGAACTGATATAGATAGTATAGCTAAATGGTTACAAGCACTAGTCATTGAGTCTAGACTGCTTGTGTTTGTTCAATGCTGACTTCACCACTTAACTACGCTGTTAGTTTGGCCAAAATGACTTGACCTCTTGGCTTCAGTTTCTCCATCTGAAGATTGAATGAGTTAATATGTAAAGTTCTGAGACCACTACCTGGCATGTGTTAAGTGATTGATAAATGTTAGCAATTTTTATCAACCCCTCATCAGGAATGTACATACATAACATTGATGCCTCATCACACATTGATTTTAGAAGGAAATATTCACGTAAAATTAAATTTATGCTTTTTGGATTTCCTGTAAAACTTTGATATTCTACAGTCCTAGCTATTATATTAATAAAAGAAAAAAGCAAGCATACATGTTTTTATTTTGTGCCCCTGGTGACAACCTGAATGGAAAAGACAGTTTATAGACTGTCTTCTTGTGGGTGTTTCCCTCTTCGCACACACACCCTACTGCAAAAATTATTAGAGCCCTTCTTAAGTATATTTGTCATTGAAAAATTAGGACTTTTTCTACTATGAAGGTAACTTTTTTTTTTTTTTTTTAATAATTCTAGGTTGTTTCTCAGTATTCAAGTCTGCTTTCTCCAATGAGTGTAAATGCAGTGATGAAAGTGATTGACCCAGCCACAGCCACCAGTGTAGATCTTAGAGATATTAAAATAGTTAAGAAGCTTGGGTAAGCATCTCTAATTGCAACTTGAAAAAAAATTTGAAAATGAGCATAAGATTGCCAAAAATAAATAAGTTACAAACACCTAGATGAACGTCACAAAGCTCTCTTTTTTCTTTTTGGTTTTGTTTTCATGAGAACTTGTATTAGTAAGTGGATCTCAAGATTTTGTTTATATTACTTTATGATAATAAGACAGCAGTGGATCAAAGAGATCCAGTAATGGGGCAATAGTAAGTGTGAGGCTGAATCACATTTTATTGGACTGATGACTTTTAATCTGTTAACAGTCTATTAAATGTACAGATGTCCACTCCCTCTTAACTACACCTCTTTGTTTTTTTCTTAGTGGGACAATTGATGACTGTGAGTTGGTGGAAGGGCTGGTTCTCACCCAAAAAGTATCAAATTCTGGCATAACCAGAGTTGAAAAGGCCAAGATTGGGCTTATTCAGTTTTGCTTATCTGCTCCCAAAACAGATGTAAGTAGAATCCAAATGAAATTGGTTCTGTGTTTAACTTTTTAATAACTCAGGCATTTCTTTATTAAAAATAGAAAATACTTCTAGTGATTTAAAGCATAGATCTCAAAAGAATTACTAGAATTGAGACAAAAATAGAAATTGTTGGTGCTACAAGTGACAAGTCTACATCCTCAATTTGGATATTGAAATTGAGAACTAGCCGATTGCAGCGATGCCTGTAGTCCCAGCTCCTCGGGAAATTTAAGCAGAAAAATTGCTTGAACCTAGGAGTTTGAGGCTGCAGTGTGCTATTCCATCACCTGTGAATAGTCCCTGCACTCCACTCCAGCCTGGGCAACATAGTGGGACCCCATCTTTTCATCATTGTTAATTTGCAAATTCACACAGATTAGAGAGGGACTCCATCTTTGAGAAACAATTAGGATACCCATTTTATATTTTTTGGTTATAAAAAATGTACCTGCAAAAAAGATGCCATTGTATTTAGTTTAAAGTAAGACTGAAATTTGGGGTATATATCTTATCCAGACTCTTTTCTATGCATGTCTGTATAATTTATTGCTTGGTATAGTTTTGGTTGAATTTATACAGTACATAGTGTTTTCACTTAAAATTCTACTTTTAAAGCTAAAATATCTTACAATGCAAATTATGATGTTTTTTCTAAACAGATGGATAATCAAATAGTGGTTTCTGACTATGCCCAGATGGACCGAGTGCTGCGAGAAGAGAGAGCCTATATTTTAAATTTAGTGAAGCAAATTAAAAAAACAGGATGTAATGTCCTTCTCATACAGAAGTCTATTCTAAGGTGTGGGACTATTTATTTTGTTCATCCCTTAATAATAATTTTGAATCTCCACTAGCAGTTTATTTTTTCTGATAAAATATTTGATTTAATCACTTACTCTAAATTCGTATTTTTTAAGGGACAACTCTTAGGTGAAACGAAATAGAGAATTTTTGTTTTAAAAGCACAGAGATAAAATGTTAGGCCTCAGTATTGTACCATCATTTGCTCAGACCAAGGGAAACAAATGGTATAAGTTCGGTTAAGATGTCTAGGAAAAGCACTTTAAAGAAATATATGATTTGTAAATTTAAAACAATAAAGGTATAATTTTGTTTTTTTGTGTTTTGTTTGTTTGAGACAGAGTCTGGCCTGTGGCCCAGGCTGGAGTGCAGTGGCGCGGTGTCGGCTCACTGCAAGCTCCGCCTCCCAAGTTCATGCCATTCTCCTGCCTCAGCCTCCAGAGTAGCTGGGACTACAGGTGCCCGCCACCACACCCGGCTATTTTTTTTGTATTTTTTTAGTAGAGACAGGGTTTCACCATGTTAGCCAGGGTGATGTTGATCTCCTGACCTCGTGATCTGCCCACCTCGGCCTCCCAAAGTGCTG